TGAATACTTGTTCAAAAAATTTCCAATTCTATAATATAGAGATATTATTGATAGTGTCCCTTGTTTTGTTTCCCTTTTATTAGAATAGAAAATTTATTTCATTTCAATAGCTGATTACTTGACTATTGTCAATTAAATATCTACTTAAATCAATTAATTATTTATTTATTGGAGTCTATTAAATGGTAATTGAAATTATAATTTCACCAATTACCATTTAAATCAATTTTTCTCAATGTGAGGAAGATTTTGGTCAATTTTTTCGAAAAACAAGGTGAAATTTCTATTTTTAATAATATAATAATTCCTGGAAAAATTATATTATTTATAAAAATATTTGAATGTTTGCAAACAATATTGTAAAACAAATTTTTGAAACGATTGAATTCTTTTGGTGAATAATATATTTTTGGGTAAATATTTAAAATAGTTAAATTAAAAATTATTTTTTTTAAATTGAATTTTTTTAAGAAATTTTATTAAAATTTGTTCAATTGTTCCTAAAAATTTTATCACAATTTTTAGGTGTGACGAACCGACTTCGTTACAATTTATCCCTTCGTGATAACAAAATATAAATATAATGTTTATAAGAAAATATTAACACAAATACAAATATCCATGTTAAACACAATAACGAAACATACTTAGTTCATCTTTTCGTTATAATCTCGTTAAAAAAGAGTTTAAATATTAATAAAGTATAATATCTCTCAATTATTGCAGTTATTTATATTTCACATTTTTATAAATTTACATTGAAAAAGATTAAGAATTTAACTTTAATTAAAAGAATGAGGCTTCAGATACCAATGTATTGTGAAACTTAAGGAGTGGTGTGTCTAGGTTAATGAACCATGATCACACCACTGCCTAAAACTGCAAGCTTGCAGAAAAGCGCCTGGCAACGAGCAGGTGCAATAAACTAAAGTATGATTTCAACACTGTAATGTCGATTAATAAAATCGATTGACACAGGGAAATCTGGGCATTTGCCCGTGTGTCTCGGCGTGACCAAGACGGAGAGTTAGGGCTATAGTGCCAGATAAAGTTATTGTACGAAGCCCTTGTTTGTTTAATTAAATTGAAGGTCTGAATAATAGACCACAAGATAAAGATGAAGTAATAAAATAAGTGAATAAATAAATGGTTATAAAATAAAGTGACAAAAGTATGAAATGAAAAGTGAAATATTAATTAAAGTGCAAGCGCGTTAAAAAAACAAAGGATATTAACTAAAGGAAATAAAACTAAAGGAAAATATATAAATATATATGACAAAGGTGAGCTAAGTTGTTTTACACACTAAAACACAATACATGCACATAAACACATTACGCATCAGAAAATAGATATTGTGTAGAATCACATACTTAAAGGAAGATAAAGATTGTAATCTTTAAGATAAAGTAAATAAGGGAAATTTAGATAATTGTATTAGGGTTTAGAAGTTATAATATATTCTCATTATTTTGTAAATTTGTTTAACTTTATTAGCTTCTACACAACAATTCCAAAACCCTAAAATCCACTATTTCCAAACAGTAGAGATTCTCACCTCACTACTTGAACAATAAGTAGGAAGGAGGGGATCCACTACCAAACTTTAAAGGTTACAAGTTTTCTTGTGTAATATTTTACCTTTAATTTTATTGTTAATTAATTAAATTATTATTCATAATTTTAATACTTTAACATTAGGAATAATTATCTTCTTCTGACTATTTAAAATATTGCAAATTCTCAAACATTAAAAATTAACTTCCACTGTCACAAATTTAAGAACAGTTAAAATAGAATCAAATCGTAAAAAAGAACAAAGAGTAAAAATGGCGTCATGCAGTGTGGCCTTAGAATTACAATTTTTTTTATAAAGAAATTAATACTTACGTCTTATCATCTGCAATACTATTGACAATGTACAGATAGATAGATAGATATTTATAAAATTATAGAATTATAGATATTTATAATTTATTTGTATAAATATAATATAAATATTGTTACAAAGGTTCCAGTCCATCCGACATTCAAGCGCATAAATGAATTAAATTCATACAGTTTTCACTCCTTTTCCAGATGGTGTTAACCGCCTGGGAAAATAATCTAAAAAGTTCAATAATTGAAAAATGTATTAATTCTGCTTACAACCCCATCTATAGACATATAAGCCAACTAAATTCAATTAAAAAATATTTAACTTTTAAAATGTCTATTCATAAAACTCGAGTGATCGGCCAATTGAGGATAGCATATATAAAGAGAATAAAAATTTCGTTTCATGGTAATAACTACATCTTAGATACTTCTGAAATTTGTTCCCTATGCAATCTCAATCGGCTGGAATCTCTGAGTCATTACTATTGACAATGTACAGATGGTCATCATAAATGTGTTCATTTATAAGATTCTGTAGTCTTTGAGCCATTTTGTATTCCACAAATTAAAAAACACTTACATATATATTAACAAAGAAACAGTAAAATGTTTCTTAATGAATACCCATATATCTATAAGAGAAGCTTCTAGAAGTTTTAATCTTTATTCGTAATCTCAAAGAATTTAGGCGCAAATGTATCGGAAATTGGCGAACATGCCGGAAATATACGAGACGTATACATCGGTAAAATTCGTAAATATTCGATAACGCTCGCGAACCTGTCGCTTCCGAAAAACTTTTGTTTTAATTCCTTCAGAGGGGGTTGCAAAGAGTCACACGTTGCAAAGTCAATTCGCTGTTTCCGTTAATCTACATACTCAAAGAGTGCATCTATTTTGACATTCACTTAATCAGTAAGATTATTAAATTCAGTCTTTCTGATTTTCTTCTTCTTAAATATTCGTTGAGAAAAGGGAGCCTGTTCGTATTGTTAGAAATCCTCAACACACCATCGCCATCATCAGTTTGTGTAAAGAGCAGTCAAGTGCATTATGGATACCGGCGAACGAGAAAAATTCACGCGAGCATTTCATGGTAAAATTCATGATGGCTATGAATACGTTATTCATAGAAAAAAAGAATCGGTAACGTAAGTATTACTTTATATTGTTTACATTGAATTATGCTATTAAAATAAAGGATATGTAAAATGTAATTTCAGAATTGATTCAATCTAACCTATAAATTTTCAGGTACAAAACAAAGTTGTTTTTAATAAAAGTTTACACATTAATAATTAATTTTAGAATTTGCAGTAAGAAAGTAATTGTAAATTAAATAATTTTATATATTCATGTTAATTTTGTCTTCAACTTTTTCAGATATTACCCTGTAAAAAAAAAGTATTGGGAGGTACGGGATTTCGTATTGCAAGTGCCAACCTGCCAATGCGGTATTCGCGAATTACCGCATTGGCAGGTTGGCACTTGCAATACGGAATCCCGTACCTCCCAATACTTTTTTTTTACAGGGTACGTTTGTAAATATTACAAAAGTGGAAAATGTAAAGCGCGTGCGATCTCCAAAGATGATTATGATTTTACATTGCGCAAAAATCACACACATGGAGTTGACAATCGAAAAATTGTTTAAACGTGAATTGTATCGGGTTGTAGTCAACTCAAATGAAACATACAGAAAGTGCTATGACACAGTTCGGAGTTCGTAAGTATTAATCCATTTTAAAAACAAAATTATTTATTATCATTTGCCAAATTTCTATTTATACCTTTTTATTTTTTGATAGTAAATCTTAATAATATCCCAATTTCGATATTGTATATTTAAAATTTTATTTCTTAATCTACTTAAGCATAAAGAAGAGAATAAATCTGTATTCTATAGTTATATTATTTAATTTAAAATTATCTTAAAATTTTCAAAATATATACAAGGCTCGAATTAGTTCTGTAAACTTGTTTAAAGTTCGTAAAAGTCAATTTTGTTTAGAAAAAAAGGTCCGTAAAATCCGTAATTTTTATAGAAAAAAGACGAAAAGTTCGTAAATTGCATTATATAATTTAAAGATTTTTAGAGGAATTACAAATGATTGCAAAAATTCAATTACTTTCAAAATTAAAAAAATTTTTATCAGAAATTCAATTATTTTCAAAGATTTAATGAAATTCTACGCAAACCTTTAGTTACATTCATAAAATTATAAAACTCTCACAGGAATTTAATTATTTAAATTTTTTTTATAAATTTCGTCGCAATTATTCGATTATTTTCATAAATAATGATAGCGTGGATTTTTGAAATCCTAATTGAATTTTGAAATTAATTTATTTAAAACAGTTTAATTGAATTTTTTTTATATTCAACATTTTTAATTTCTAATATAGATTTAATTGAAGAATTTACTAATAATTAAAATTTCGTAAAATTGAATATTACAATTAAATGGATTTAAAAATTGTCAAAAAACTTTTTAGAGAATTATAAAAATAATGTCAATTTAAAGAAGAATTTTAGTGTAAAATTGTTTTAAAAAATAATTGAATTGATAATGATTTTATCACTCGGTCATCTTTAATTGTTATGAAACATGAAGAAATGAAATTAAAAATAAAATCTTTATGTTTTATAGTTATGAAAAATTTATTTTATAGTTTTACGTAAAATATTCTCCTATTTCAATCGGACTGGTTATATTTTTGACAGTAATTTTTTATTTTTAATCCATAAAGTCAAGTACTATACGCTCCATTCCAAAATTTGATGGAATCTGCATCAAGTAAGTTTTTTAGCATTTAAAATTTCCTGATAGAAAGAGACATTTTTTATAATTTAACATTTTTAGTGAATAATGAATAATATAATAATAATTTGACAAATTTAAAAGAGTGTAATAAATGTAAAGTAATTAATCCTTTTTCCATGAAAATTTGTTTTATCGTAAATAATTTATAATTAAAGCAAAATAGAAAATTTGATACATTAAAAATGTTCATTACTAACATACATACATACATTAACATACTCCATATGTATTAAATTTCCACGAGACTAGTTCAAAAATTTCCAACTTTTTTTACTTTAACATTATTTTTAATTACAGTCATCCCGAAGCTTCGATTAGCGCAACATTCTCAAGATGCGAAAATTCCATGTATAAATGGCGTACAAAGAGTTTACCGCCTGAAATAAATTCATTAGAGTCTTATGCAAATATTGTTAATATGAATAACTGGAAGCACCTTTTAAATCACCAAAATGGATCCTTAAATGTTTCATCGGTTGTGGGAACAAATTTGGATACGTCAGTTATTTTCGTCGATTTGAATTTTGCAAATAAAGTTTGCGAAAATTGTAATATATTTATTGACGCAACATTTAAAGTAGTACTGACAGTAAATGATGTACAACAACTTTTGGTCATCAAGGCAGAAAAATTTAATCATGTACGTAAATATTATTATTATTATTATTTTTTATTTTTTTTTGTAGTCGGAAGTGGAAAATCTGCGAATTCAGATACCTGGGTAATGAATTCCAGGTTATGTGGGGATGACCGCTCTTGTTCTGGTCTACCCACTAAAAACCACTCCCGTCTTAATTTGGGACACTTGATTCACCTGCGGAACTACCGTCAGGCCTTTAACTTCGCAAATGGTGGTCCCCTTGTCCTACTCCTTAACTGGGCCTTAATCCGCTCTAGCTTTGTGGGAACGTGGGTGGGAGAAAAACTAAATGATTTCCTCCCCCCCACACTCACACACAGCTGAGCACTGGACTCCTTCGGTCAACATCGTCTTCCGTCTCTTGCCGCTCTTGTTCTGGCATTATTTCCTCCTTGTCCTTGACAAAGTCTTCTTGCTTCCTCGAAGGCAGTTCTGAAGACCTTGCAACCTCCTGATCCGGCGACATGCTGGATATTCTCCTTCTCGACGAACTTTGCCTGGCATAAGAAGCAGCATGGGCTCTTCTTACAACCTCTGCCTTATGGCCAGCTTCTCCGCACTTGAAGCACGCAGCTGACCTATCTACACCTTGGCAATCTCTGCCTAGATGGCCATAGTCAAGGCACTTATGACACCTTGTGACCATAGTTCTGCTTCTTATCTTGCAGGAGACGAACCCAATCTTTATGTGCCCAATTTTCTCCAGCTTATCAGCGTCTTCCTGATTGGTGACCACGACAGCGAGCTTTACTCCTCGCTTGTTTGGTCCTAGAACCGTCACCTTCCTACTTCCTGCTGGTACCGTAGAAATTTTCTCCAGGGCACACAGTACGTCATCTTTTTCTGTAAGGGCATCCATATCGCGGATTTCCAACGTAGTTCGCCGGTCCGCCATCTGCACCTTACCCAGATCGCCGATCACCTTTGTCACCTCTTCGGTGAACAACTTCTTGTTTGAAGACCCCCCAATTTTAATGAGCAGGTCTCCCTTTTTAGTGGGCAAAGCTCCCACAACCATTGTCTGACTGGCCTCCAGGTCAGCCTCTTTTCGAACTTTCGCCAGCACTTCGGCGAAGGTAGCTCCTTCAGCCACTTTGACGACCACTGTGGCTCTTCCCTTCTTAACTGTATTTGGCTTTGGTGCCGGTTTGGTCTCGTTACCTTTAGACCTTCTAGAAGGTCCCTCCTCCCTCTTCTTTTTTGGGTCCTTCGTACTCTCAGGATCACTTCTCTTCCGTTTCTGAGACTCCAGGACAACGTTTTTAAGCATTACTGCATTAAAACGGTCACGTCTCATTCTTCGGTCCTTTCGTGCATCCTTTGACCAGGCTAACCCCTGGTAGAATTTCTCATCTTTTCTGGACGCTGCTGTATGCTTCTCCTTCACATCCCGTATGAGCGATGTTATGCTTCTAAGTCCATCCTTAATTGTCCTATTGACATTCTCCTGGACTTCACAGGACTTCAGCATCTTGCTGACCTTCTTCTCCATTTCTAGAATGCTCGCTGCCTCTTCCTCCTGCAGCTTTATGCTTTCATCTCGGTCCTTGTTGCAGCTAGCAATGTAAATCATATATTAATAAGAATTATATTTAATGTTAAGACCATTCCATTCGTCTGGGTGTTAATGGAGCGCAAACTTACGAGCTCTTACGTTGCTGTTTTTTATGGTTTTAAAAGTAATTGAACCCATTAGAGAAATTTAATTAAAATTGCCTTAAATATAATTGAATTTAATTAATATTTTTAAAATTAATTGTATTTTTTTGAAGAAACTTTATAAAAGTTATATTTAAAAATAATTTCATACTGTCGATAAATTACTTCTGCTTATATTTTAAATAATAGCTCAATTTCTTTTTACTGTAAAATATAATTGATAACTACTATATTATTATTTTCAGGCAAATTTGAGGAACATATTTACCTTAGGACTTGAACAACTGATACAGGAATCTGCTGAAGCTCACCATTGTTTAAAGCTAATTCTAGCACTCCCATTGTTACCCAACTACGAAATTTTGAACGCACATGAAGAAATTAAGGCAAATTTATTGCCACAAACACAAATTGCTATGCTACCGTTTTTAAATTATTTTGAGAGACAATGGATTCGCAGAGTGACACCTAATACGTTTAGCGTGTTTATGCTTCCAAAGCGCACAAACAACGACTGCGAATCGTACAATAAAATTTTAAAACAATTATTTGGTGTTCACACAAATATTTGGAATTTCACTACTAAGTTATTCTACTTTCCTTACATTCAATTTAATTTTTTTTATAACGAATAATATCTTTTACAAAAACTATTTGACCAATTCTTACGAAATTTTAAACACATTTTTGTCACATGAATCAGTATCGAAAAAAATAGAATCATAATATAAACTTTTTGCATAATAATTAATAACTGTAGTTCAAAGAACAACGACAGATCTATACTGAACTTTCTCTCTAAATCTAAATTAACAAAATCTCACTAATTCCGGGAAATAAGTATACCACTAATTTCAAACAAGTTGTTCATTTTATGACCATTTAGCTTCCTCAATATATAAAAATTGCAGTTTTGCAAACTTTTGAAAAATTATGTACAAAAGGGTTTGTCCAGAAGATTTGTTAAAAATAAAATTATATAAATCATTTATAAGTTGTTGTATAAATATTTGGTGAAATTTACACTTTCATTTGCCAATTGCTTCTATTTTATGATAGAATAATCATTTCAAAATATTAATATTAATATTAAATTAATTATGAAAAAAATACAAAATTTGAATTTTTTGTGAAAAAGAAAAATATTTATTAATTTTATAAATTTTGATAAAATATATACTTTGTATACATCAATCGATTCGTTTTCTTGCCAGGAATGTAATTTTGAGAATAATTAATAAAAATATTAACAAATAAAAAAATTATTTCAGAAAATACAAAAAAAAAAATTTTCTGAATTTTAAAAAAATTGTATAAAAAAAAATTTTGTAGATATTTTTAAAAATCCTTGTGTCAGATGTCAGGTATTAATGACTGCAATAAACCTGCAAAATTTCAGGACAATCCATCAAAATTTGTCTGAGATAATTTGTACACAATTTTTGTGACATACACACACACATACACACATACACACACACATACACACATACATACACACACACATACATCTGGACATTTGCTCATAATTGAATATACATATGTTCTAGATGAAAATGAGTCCATATAACCTTGTTTTGAAAAATTGAAAATCGTCACCAATGCAAAGCTTCCTCATGAGGAAGCAAAAGCGTTAATTATCAATGACATTTCATTAATCATTTTGAATATACATATTAATTCATATTGTATACATTCGCTATTGGAAATTTGTAGTATATTTATCACCATTTCAGATTTAAAGAGTAAATCTTTTTAATTTTAAAGTTTCGGATTTTTCTAATCAAAAAAAGCATTTACATAGCTGTCATTGTTATTTTCAGCAAGGATAAATTCATTGTTAAATTTGAAATAAAAAAATTATTATTTATCTTTAATACAACAAAATATGTTACATGGGTGATTTTCAAATAACTTTCATATTTGCATGGCTTCAAAGATAAGTAACTACTAAAACAATTTTTTTGGTCAGTTATTTCATAAACCACTTAATAGAAGTATGTTCTTAAAGATACATACTTAATATTCAGTTCATTAATTAATCATTATCACAATTAAAACTAAGAAAACATGGTAAAATTATCAGGTCCTTTTTAACATATTATACTTCAATAACAAAAATGTACTGAAATAAATAATGAAAGTGATTTATTTATTTATTAAAACGTATTTTAATCACTTAATAGAAACAAATATTTAATCTTAAAAATAACAAACGATATATGGAATACATAAAAATATTATTTTTTTGTGTCTAAAATAGTTTATACAATAAAAAGTAAGAAACAATATTGTTTTCTAAGATTTACAAAAATTTCACATATTCATTGTTAAAAAATGCAATTTTAAATATAAATCTTCTAAAATTTTCTTAGTTTCTGTATTTTATAAATAATATTAAACATACTTTATTCCGGAATTTCAGGGACTCTTGTTCAACATCAAAGTGGAATAGCAATTGATTTACAATCCCTCGAACGAGGTTATAATATCACAAGATTGCGCAAAATTAGGAACGTTGTTAAAGATGAGATGATATTCGCAGAATGGACAAAACTAACAGAAAGAAATGATTACTCGAAACGACAATTTCTAGAAGAAATATTCAAAATTTTCATCGACCCAATAGAAGCATACAATAGAAGCTTACAATAAATAATAATAAATTGTTCAAATATAAGCATACAAGTCGTACATTGTAACAAATTTAAATGAATTATTTATTAATTAAGCTATTTATTATGCCAATTTGGATGATAAAAAACATTGCGAAAAACCACACTACAAATTAAATTTTATTTTATTCAATTGTTTATTAAGAATTTCAGAATATGAAAAATATAATTTGCCTCGTATGAAACATAAACGATTTACCTTTTTTACAAAAAAGAACTAACCAAAACTGTGGGTTTTTTTAAATTTCAAACCTTTACTAGATTTTTCAAGTTCTGTGTAGCAAACCATGCATACACTTTCTTCAAACATTCAGCATTCAGTTAATAAAAATAAGTTTTTATAACTTTCTAATGAGATATAATCTTCTATATTTTAAAATGAAATAATCATTCAAGGTTCATGGTCTATTTATGAAAATTTACGTTAGTAACAAAATTCTTTGACCATACATAGATTTTGATGTAATTTAACGGCAGTTTATTGGGCCTCTTTTTGCCCTTTAAAAAGGTAAAAAAATGTGATGTGGGCCAAATTACACATAGATTTTGACGTAATTTAATATCGTTATTGGGCATCTTTTTTAACTGTAGGTAAAAAAAAAAGACAAATCATTTTGGCGGCGATATCTTTTTCTGCTATAGGTATAGGTATATATGTATTGTATTACCTAATAAATTCTAAATCAGATATTATACATGTGACGTTCTATAATACAATATTTAACATATTATTATCAATTAATATTTTACTTTAAAAAGTTTTGCAATGATTAATATATTTTAATTAAGTAGTATAATAAATTAATTGTTATTATAATAATTTTTTAGAGAGATTGAATGGCCTTCAAAAAAAGTAAGTCAAAATATATTTAAATCTTTTTTGAATTTTCATATTAGCTGAAAAAATTCGTAGATTTTGAAAATAGGGAAAAAGGATATTAAAAATTCATTTTCTCTAATTCTAATAATTTTTTTTCATTGGAAAATACCTAAATAACTTTTAAGTGGTAGAAAAAATCGTTTAAATTTAATTTCTGTATTTGCAGCAGTTTTTATTGACAGCATCTAAATTTTTTGAATAATAAAATTAATTCTTATTAATTTTCAAGCATTTTTTTAAATCTCTGTTTTTATTTACAAATTCTAAAAAATACGATTATCATTGAATTTTCTAATTTGAAAATTTCTTTGTTTATTTTTCGAACTACCTAATTTCAAATATTAATATTAAACTATTTTTACATTCTCATCACATGAGAAAGTATTAGTTTTGGTCGAAAATTGACTTTTGCTAATTTTATGAAATCTTTACGTTTTGAGGTGCCCTGAGTCCGAAAAACATAGTCCGGCGAGTGCGTCTGTCTGTGTGTCTGTCTGTCCGTCTGTAGACGGTAATATGTTGTTCCGACGATAACTCTTGAAAAACTTATCGGATCGTTTTTAAATTCAACACACTTAAACTTGGTGTAAAAATGAAGGCTAAGTTCGTTAACCAGCCATTTTCGTTAAAAACTACAAAAACTACGGTAGTTTCAAAATTTTGAAAACTCAATTTTTTTAAATTTCAGAATTTTTAACTTTATTTTATTTTAGATTAGAAAAATACAAACAACTTTTCTTTACAACATTTTTTCATAGAAACTCAATTTTCGAAGTTATAGTCTCTTAAATGGTCAAAAAAACTAAAAAAATCCTAAAATATCACTGAAAATCGAATTTTTTTAAAGGAATAAAAGTCAGTCAATTGATTTTGACATATTCTCACCCTAAAATACTTGAAAAATATACTTGTACACAAAAAGTCGTAATTTCCGGAAAAACCACTCTATATATATATTTTTTGTGCGCTTTTTTAACTAAAAATCGATATTCCGACTCAATTATCTCCGAATCTATTCTGAATGGAATCTTGCTACTAGAGACTTTTTTCTCGTCTCATCCTCAGCTACAACTTTGCTGTAGACATCATTTCACCAAACCCTATACTTTTCGAGTTATTTTGAAAAAAAGTAATTTTTATTACATTCTTATCACATGAGAAAGTATTAGTTTTGGTCGAAAATTGACTTTTGCTAATTTTATGAAATCTTTACGTTTTGAGGTCCCCTGTACCCGAAAAACATGGTCCGGCGAGTCCGTCTGTCTGTGTGTCTGTCTGTATGTATGTCTGTCTGTAGACCAAAATGTTGTAGGCACAATAAATTTTGAAAATCTTATCTGATCGTCTTTAAATTTAACACACTTAAAGTTGGTGTAAAAATAAAGGTTAAGTTCGTTAACCAGCCATTTTCGTTGAAAACTACAAAAACTACGGTAGTTTCAAAATTTTGAAAAATCAATTTTTTCAAATTTCAGAATTTTTAACTTTATATTATTTTAGATTAGAAAAATACAAACAACTTTTCTCTACAACATTTTTTCATAGAAACTCAATTTTCGAAGTTATAGTCTCTTAAATGGTCAAAAATTCTAAAAAAATCTTAAAATAACACTGAAAATCGAATTTTTTGAAAGGAATAAAAGTCAGTTAATTGATTTTGACATATTCTCACACTGAAATACTCGAAAAACATAATTGTACACAAAAAAGTCGTAATTTTCGGAAAAACCACTCTCTATTTATATTTTTTGTGCGCTTTTTTGAAAAAAATTCAATATTCCGACTCCATTATCTCCGACATTATTGTATATGCGATTTTGCTACCACAGACTTTTTTTCCGGTTTTGCATCAGCTACAACTTTGCTGTTGACAACTTTTTGCTAAACCCAAAACTTTTCGAGTTATTTTTTAAAAACTGTCAAAAAACTAAATTTTTTTACATTCTCATCACATGAGAAGGTATTAGTTTTGGTCGAATTTTGACTTTTGCTAATTTTATGAAATCTTTACGTTTTGAGGTGCCCTGAGTCCGAAAAACATAGTCCGGCGAGTGCGTCTGTCTGTGTGTCTGTCGGTCTGTCTGTCCGTCTGTAGACAGTAATATGTTGTTCCCACGATAACTCTTGAAAAACTTATCGGATCGTTTTTAAATTCAACACACTTAAACTTGGTGTAAAAATGAAGGCTAAGTTCGTTAACCAGCCATTTTCGTTAAAAACTACAAAAACTACGGTAGTTTCAAAATTTTGAAAACTCCATTTTTTTAAATTTCAGAATTTTTAACTTTATTTTATTTTAGATTAGAAAAATACAAACAACTTTTCTCTATAACATTTTTTTAAAAAACTTTTTTTTTTTTTTAAGTTTTTGGGCCCGTCTAG